GGTTAGGGTGGTGTATGGGTGGGGGGATGGGCGGGGGGATCGAGAATGGCAAGGGTCTGATGTCCGCGCTGTTGCCCTGCGACGGATTGCGGCAGCAGGGTGCCCCGCAGAAACCCTACACTTCAAACCCTTAACCCCAAAACCCAAAAAAACCAAAACCCGAAAACCAAAGCAAGATAGCGGCCTTGGCCAAGGCTGTCGAGGGAGCCCGCAGAGGGAGGCACAGGCGCGGAGCACAAAACCGGGGGCGGATCGTGTTTCACGAGCATCGCGCAGCGGGCCGGACGCTGGGCGCCGCGCGCGCCTGTGGCGGAAGTCGTGCACCACCGCCGCCAGCAGGGCCGCCAGGTGCGCCAGGGGGTCGCGCTGCAGCAGCTCCAGCAGGCCGCCGCGCGTCAGCAGCACGTGCATCGTCTGGGCGGCCGCGGGCGGGGGGCGGGGGGCCGGGATGGGGTGGGAGTGGGTGAGCGGGCGGAGCGGCCGTGGCTGCAAGCGTCTATACACAAACACGCGACCACACATGTGCGGTGCGCTCGAGAGCCCCCATGCGCGAAAGAAGACCGCACAAGAAAAGCTCACACAAGCCCTCAAACAGGCGCTCACACAATCCGTTCCCCCACACACACGCACGCACCTGCAGGACGTCCGCGGCGTGCGTCTTGTGGTGAAAAGGATTGTCCCCATACCCCGCCTCGATCGCCCTCAGCCAGCGCCCCAGCGCCGCCGCGTCAAGCCCCAGGGCCCGCACCAGCCCCGCGCCCCCGATCAGGTGCGCCGCGAGCGTCGACAGCGGCCGGCCCCCAGTTGCGGCGTCCAGGGCAAACGCGTCCCACTGCCACGCGTCGGCGGCCGCGAGGGCCTGCTGGACTTCCGGCTGTGGCGGCAGAGGGGTCAGGCACAGGGGAGAGGGTTGAGGGACGGCCACAAGGGGGCGGGGCGTAGGAGAGAGGGTTGAGCTGCCGCCACAAAGGAGTGGGGCACAGGGGAGAGGGTTGAGGTGCAGCCCCGAAGAGAGGGTTGCGATGCGGGCCCGAAACGACGAGCGGCGGTAGAGTGGGGCCCGGAAGGCACGGCGGACTCAAAATGCTGGCGCTGCAGGTGGGGGCGCGATGCAGAATGCTTCGGGTCCAGGCGGCCGCTTCCAGCCCCCGACAAATGCACTTCGCGAGAGCGCCGCGAGTGTCTTTCGCGGATCATCCGGGAGCGAAAAGACGCCCGCGCGCACACACACACACACACACACACACACTCACACACACACACACACACACACACACACACCGGCTGGGGGTCGTTGAAGAGCCCAGCGCCGTCATCGCCATCGAACGGAGCAGTCGGCGCGTCGGCCTGCATCCGCGCCGTCCGCGCTTGCACGCGCTCCTTCTCATCCTCATCTCCTTGCTCGAGCTCGCCTCCGCGCCGCTCCCCCTCGCCATCCCGTCGCGCGCCGCAGCACCAATCGGCGCACGCGCCGCCCCCGCGGGCGCCGCCACCGTCACTGCCGCCGCTGCCGTCGTCGTCGCTGCCGCAGCCGGGGCAGCGGCGGGCGTGGCAGGAGGGGGAAGAGGTGCTCAGGCGCGACCGCTCGAGAGACCAGCCACCAGACAGGCCCAGGCTGGCCGCAGCCAGCCCGCCGAAGGTCGCCGCGCGCCGAAGCAGGCCGCCGGAGGGGCGGCGCTTCTCGCCCTGCGCGGCGCCGGCGCCGCTCGGCGCGCGCCGCAGCTGCTGCGGCGCGGCGGCGCCGCCGGCCGGCAGGCCGTCGTCGGAGCCGGCTGAGCCGCTGCAGGAGCATCCGCGGCTGGGAGTGCCTGGAGGCGAGACACCCATCCAGGTGCTGGCGCTGGCGCCGCCGCAGCTGCTGCTGCTGCAGCTGCTGCAGCTGCTGCACCCGCCGCCGCCACCGCCGCAACCGGCATCGGCGCCTGGCCCGCTGCCCAGCGGCACGGCGCGCGCGGTCGCCGCGGCGGAGCCGGCAGCGCCGGCGGCGACGGCTTCTCGCAAGTGTTGGATCACGGCTTTGTCGGGGCGCTGCTGGCCGCTGATGAGCATCTCAAGCGCACCGAGCAGGGCAGCCTCGCGGCCCTCGCCGCCGCTGGCAACGACTGCATAATGTGCGAGAGGGGTCGCGATGAGCGGCGCATGGGCCATGGGTGGCAGGCCTCCGCATCTTATAACGGTGGCGCGAGTGCAGGGGGCGCGCGAGTTCATGCAGGTATCCTGTGAAGCGCCATGTGCGGCGTTGTCGCTGGTGGCCGCACCGGTCTGCCCCGGTGGACCTTACCTGCGGCGCGCCCTGCCGCTTCGGCCGCCAGCTCATACGACGAGTGGCACAGCTTGTCCAGTTAGCTCCAAGAGCCCCTTTAGTGCGGCAAGCGCGGCGCATGGCACTTTATGGGTTTGATATAATGGCTCTCTCGGCGTGTTCGCTGTGTGGGCCGCTGTGGGTCTTTCAAGCCAAGCTGGCATAGAAACAAGGCACAGCGATCACGAGCACACTTGAGGACGGAGACGCCAACAAAGGCGGGGTGCGGCAGCGTTGTTCGCTGACCGACGCCTCCCACGCTCGCCTGGGCTCCTGGTACGCTGAACAATAATAATAGAGTCTATATACACTGCAACATTCCCTGGGCCGGTTCGAAGTGAACCGAGCGGGCCAGACAACCCCTGGACCAAGCCCGCCTGTCGCCGGGCCGAAGAACCAGTCGAGGATGGGAATTGTTGAGATGAAAAAGTCCAAAAATGATGTTGCTGCGGTGGAGGGCGACGCGGAATACGGAGGATGCATCATCCACGGGCAATGATATTATCTGCGGTGCGCCAGGCGCACCCCGATTTTTTTGTCTCAGGCGACAAGCGCCTTTGACCGGGCAGTGCGGCGGTTGCCGACGCGCGCTCCTTAGGCAAGTGAAGAGTCTATCTTCTCCATCATGCACAGTTTTTGGATCAAATGTGGAGAGCCCCTTGACATGCGCCGTCGCGACACCCGCGAGTTGTGATAGAACAGTTGAGGACAGTCTTCCGGACTTTGACTGGCGCCCCACGTGATTTAGCCGCGGGGATGCAGAGCGTTGCGGTGCGACACATCTCAATCAACAAATTCCAATCCGTTATGATGGCGTCGTGAGCGGTGGGTCGCATCTGAGAGGTGGACCTGGCCGGGGCAACCACACAGCCAGCTGGCCCAGCCAGCCACGCAGCACAGGCTGTGTTACAGCAGCTGGCAGGCTCGGAGGTTGCGGAAAGGATGTCCATAATGCACGGAGCGCGCAGGCACTAGGCCACCGGAGCTAGTATCTGGATTATGCCTTTTGTTTTGTTCAAAATGCTCTGTCGCAAGCCAAACAAACAACCTTTGTGAGGCAGCTGACACTCAGTAATTTGCTAATCAGCCCCTGGGTGCCATGCTTGACACTCAAGTGCGCACTTGGACTTGACTGGCCCCGTCAGACCACTCATTCAAGCACCGGGCGCCTTGAGCACTGGTCTGCCATATAGTTGCAGGCACCTCCTATCATCATGCCTGCGTAAGTACACATATGCATACACACGCATTGGCGCTCGTGCGTACACATGCACGCACGCACGCGCACATACGCACCCACGCACACACGCACGCACGCGCGCGCGTGCGCACACACACACACACACACACACACACACACACACACACACACACACACACACACACACACACACACACACACATGCGCGCACAAGGGCACACGCGCGCATGCACCCCTCTCCCTGTCCCTCTCCCTCTCTATTCCTTAGGTTTTGGTGGAGCGCCTTGCGGCCACGGCTGCTGTCGCCCACAGACGCGTTTGTTGTTGGTGGTGCATGCGCGCCTCCTGGTTCGCTTGTGCACATTACGAGCGCCGCCAAATGCCGGGTAGGGCGCCCTTTTCCTTTGCGCTACAGCGTTGGGGGTACAGCGTCTTGCGGGCATGTTTGAATAGATGGCTGAAGCCCTTGACGTTCAATTTGTGGGTCGCACCATGCTGGATGCAGCTGCTCAACTGACAAAACCACCAGGATGCATTGTGCGCCGCACGGCTCCGCCCCTCGTCAAGGCTGCACATCATCAATAGAACGCCTCGATGCCAGAAAATGTGTGAATCTACCCTCGTTGGGAGCTGATGCGGGCATCTCCGGATGTCAGACTCTCGTGAATCACATCGTGGGACGGCAGAGCCCAGAGCGAAGAGGAGGGGACAGCGCCTCCTCCAGCAGCTTCTGCGCAAATATTATAAATCAAATCTACTTTAATTGTTTCCATCATTTTACACTTGTGCAGCCGACTAGCCGTTGCTCGTCAGACACCTGTGTGACTCTGGCAAGGCACAAACAGCAAGCAGACCACACTGACACAGTGACAGTACCCTTTCCCAGCACTCCAACCAAGCCAGCCCCAGCATCATGCGAGCCGTTCTGGCATTGGCGGCTGTACTTCTCCTGGCCTCTCAGCCGGCTGCTGCGTGGACGTACGGGAGGTGCGGCCCCAGGGCTTGACCGCACCTGGGCGCGCCAGCTCTGTCCTTGCACTCGCTTGCGTGTGTCGCTCACAACCGCGGTCTGACGGCCGATCGCCAACTCCAGGGCCACGTACTATGGCTTAAATGATGGCATGAGCGTCCATCAAGGTGAGCCCACCCCTGGCCCTGAGCTTACTGTTCCTTCGGCGGATACTACGCGTGGCCAGCGCTGCAGTGCACGATATCGCCCCCGGCAGAAGTGTCTGCAGCCACTATGAACTCGTCTGAAATCAGAGGCAGGGCTTGATTGTGCTGAGTTTTGCCCGCGGCCAGCAACTTGCAGCAACTTGCAGATCACCAACCCCCCACGATCATGCGTTTGGTGCCTGAGCCCAGCGCCCCCCGATTACTCCGGACCCCCCTGGGTCCCACGCACTCCCCCTCCCCCCCAGGCAGCTGCCAATTCGGCTTCCTCCACAACACCGACATTGCCGCATTCTCCGACACCGACCCGGACTACTCTGGCAGCTGCGGCACCTGCTACGAGGTCGCCTGCGAGGACGGCACTCTGACAGACGGGTGAGCGCACACGCACCCACTGGTCACCGCTGCACAAGGTGGTTTTGTGACCACATAGGATTGGAGGAGCGAGGCAGCCTTGTCATGAGTGCTGCCGTAACGGCCCGCCACCAATGCGCTGATTTGTGCACATGCGCACGAGCGCACGCAAAAAAGAGGTTGCAGCCGCTGTCAGACATGCATTTGTGCTCCAGCCGCTTCAGCCTAGCCAGGGGTGGGTGGCGCGCTCCTCATGCATTGCCGGTTCCCCACTTTGGAGCAGGCGGCCTCCACTCAGACCCTCAGCACGGGTTGGCAATTAGACGGGCAGGCAGTTGGCTGGAATGGCATGCATTTGTACTGCCAACGAGCCCTGCTGATTCGTGACTTGAATCATAACACACTCCACCCATCTATGGGCTGCAACCTTGCCCACAAACCAACCGCCCCCAACCCAGTTATGGCGCAACAATTCAGCGCAACGGCGCCTGCAAGCAGGGTGCCAGTGTCACTATCAAGGTCACAGACACCTGTGAGTGCTTTGAAACCTGGGCTGTACGCTGTACGATCCAGTTTGAACAGCAGTTTCACCTTGTCATCTCGCCACGCGTGCACTGCTGATGACGTCTGCCGCCTTCTCCTGTCCCGCCGTTCTGCCGCTTCCGTCTGTTGTCAGGTGCACATGTGGGCGCGGCTGCGACCTGCTGCACCAGGTCGCCGTGGCCGCCACACCGTTTCCCCACCACCCCCTGCGCACCCCCCCTCCTGTACTGCCGGTGCAGGCCCGTGCAATTACCCGGCCAACTACTACTCCAACAAGCGCTGGTGCTGCGGTGCGTCACTGATGCTTGCAGCAGCGCTCAACGCATGCATGCATGCGCCTCGGTGTGCACACACACGCACGGCGTGCACCTCACTCACTGAACCTCCATTGGTTTGCAGCAAAATTATATTGCGCTTGGTGCATGCGTGTACACCGGGCACCGGAGCAGATCCCACCCCCTGCCTTGCTCCTTGATTCCTTGCTCCCGCGCCTGGGCAGGCGACATGCGCCACATGGACCTCTCTTACAGCGCGTTTGACAAGATCGCAGACAGGAGCAAGGCGCGCGACAAACGCCCGCTGCCTGCCGCCCCCGCGTGTGTTTACATTGATCCTGTTTGCCGCCGAGGCTGTTGCCTGCAGATTGCAAAGATTCATCTGCCAAGGGCCCGTTGCAGGGCCAGCATGCTGCCTTGCATTCATCACCCATGGGCCCGACCCGATGAACGGCCGACCCGCCGCACCCCGCACCCCTTCCCTCCCAACCTGTTGCCACACTGCGGCAGGGTGTGATCGGCATCAAGTTCCGCAAGGTGCGTTGCTTGGTGGCTCCAAGCGACCTTCATTGCCCAGCGCTGGGACTCGCCTGTGCTTGTCCTAGCCCAGGCCCCCGCTCCGCCGCTTGCAGCAGGTGGCCGCCGCCCGCACATCCACACTCCCTTGCCACCCACGGACGCCCGTCTCCTGCAGGTACCATGCCCCGGCGACGGTGCTTCCTCTTCCTCTTCTTCCTCTTCTTCCTCTTCTTCCTCTTCTTCCTCTTCTTCCTCTTCTTCCTCCTCTTCCTCATCTGATCCCTCTGGCTCATCTGGCTCCAACAACTCTGGCTCTGCCTCTGGCTCTAGCTCGGGCTCAGGCTCGGGCTCAGGCTCTGGCTCTTCCTATTCAAACTCGGGTTCCTCCAACTCCTGGTCCCAGCCCTCATCAAGCAACAGTGGCAACAGCAACAGCGGCAGCAACAACAACAATGGCAACAACGACGGTGGGGGCAGCACCAACGCCCAGTTTGGGCGCTAGGCGCCAGCCACGTTGCGGAGGGTGCCATGCGGTCAGCATGGCCACGCCCTCAGAACGGGCAGCAGTCAGTGCTTGCAACCCATTCGCGTCTCCTGGTTGCCAACCCAGACGTCATTGAGATCATTCAATTTTATTTGAGCGTGCAACACCTGCACCGTAGCTGACTGATCGCTTGTGCGGGGCGTCACCATCGCGCACGGGGCAGGTCTTGCGGTCTGCATGCGCCACCGGGTTGTTGTGGTGCGTATCACCTGCGTGCGAAATTGTGCTTCCGAACGGATGCCTTGATAAGAAGATTTTTTGTGGCCACACGGGCGTGGGGCTGCCTTGCCCGCGACCACAACCTTGTGCGAGCGAGCACTGCCGCCGGCTTCCAGTGCGATGCAGTGCGATGCGGGTGGTGTCTCCGCTGCAGCTGCTGTGGCACCATTGGGTGGGGGTGGGAAGGCTGGCTGTATGCATTGGCGGCGATATGTGTTTAGTAGCACTGACCGTCAAGAGGACGAAGGTTTCTCCTCAATTGAAAGGGGGCATTTCCACCATTGAACAAACACCCTTTTGATTGCTGCCCTACCGGTAGATTCAGTGCTGCAGGCTGGTGCCCTCGAGTGAGAAACGTGCGAAACACACTTGTCCTTGCTTAGATGCCAATTTTCTGAGTTGACATCCACATTGCGAGTTGTGTACCATGTTTTTGTATTGCTTGACCAATTTGACTAGCCATGTTTCACGTACGATAGTCATGGTGTGCACGCCAAACAACATGAGCTGCCACAGTAATTGCCTTTACTAATATATTTTTGCATGCCCAGCAAACGCGGCATAAAATCAACTAAGATACCTGCAGTTACACCGTCAGCCCCGCCACTGCCGCCAGCCCGTCATGCAGCGCACGCAATTGCACCAGCCCAAGGCGTCCCAGCTCCAGCTCAAGCACCTCCTCACTGCTGCAGGCAGGGTCCTCAAGGTTCAGAACCATCGGCGCCGCCTGGCGGCCTGGCGCCCCAAGCCGCGGCGCGTGCCCCGAGTCGCCGCTCGCCCGCTGCTGCTGCACCTCCTGCTGTGACGACGGCAGCGTGCCGCCGATGGCTGACGCGCCCAAACGCGCACTCAGCCCGCCTTCGTTGCTGCGGGGGACGCGCCCCGCGCCGCTGCTGCTGCTCGGCCTGCTCGGCGCGTCCGTGCAGCCGTCCCACACTATGTCGAGGTCGCCGGTTTCATCAGACTCCGAGCCCCACTCCCGCAGCTGCGCCAGGCGCGCGTCGACGCCGTCGCGCGCGCAGGCGGTGGTCAGCATTGCGCGCCACGCGGAGGGTGGGCGGGTACAGGGCGGGCACGCTGGTGCGGGAAGAAGGTGCGGGATGTGGTCATCCCTCCAATTGTCTGCTGTGCTTGGAATACTGGAGGCTGCTGCTGCTGCTGCTGCTGCTGCTGCTGCTGCTGCTGCTGCTGCTGGTGTCACCGCCGCTGCGCATGGTGTCACTGCTGGCGTTGCGGCCGCTGCGCCCCTGTTGTCTCCCTGATGACGGGGTACAAGGGCGCCGCCGGAAGCCCGTACGCTGCAAGTGTGAGCGATGGCGCCGCACGGAGTTCCCAGGCCAGCAGCGCTTGCAACAGCAGCTCCGCTGCTGGGTGCTGCCCAGGCGCTCGTGCGCGCCCGCCGCAACAGTTGCGCAGCAGCTGCCGAGCCTGGTCTGGGCGGCAGGGCAGGGATAGCTGCCTCCCCACAGCAGGACCGGAGACTCTGATTGCATTCTTGCAAGCTGATTCTGTCTACTGCACTCACTGGTGATTTATTCGCTGAGGTGCGGCTGGCCGATGCAGGCGCAGCACCTGCGGCCTGTATCTGTCCACATCTGCAGGCCGGCTGCACCCCAAACGCTGTTTGGGGCAGGCAGACCTGCTTCCCTTGGCAGGGACCTGCAGCTACGTGGGCGACTGCCTGGGCCGCACCGGCGCCGCCAAGTGGCACGGAACCTGGCCGGTGCGGGTGGGTGATGAGCGGCGCGACCGCTGCGGGTGGATGGGCTGCCGATATGTGCAAAGGCCTGGCACTCCCGCCGCCACCTCTTCTCTGATCTGGACCATGTATAACCTGGCGCCATGCCGGCCCTGCTAATGCTGCGAGCAGCTGCTGTTTGGCGCTCAATGCTGCTCCATGCGGCTCCGGCACTGCAAGCACTGCTGACAGCGCACTGCTGCTGGCCTGCCGCAGGTTGAAGCGGTCCTTCTGCCGCTGTCTCGCAGGGTTCTGAAGTGAGGTTGGTGTATCTCCTGCAGCCGTACGCGGCCTGGGAAGATGTCCGAGTGCGGGTTCAATTCGCGAAAAACGGCGTCGTGACTGAGGCCGAACAGGCATCCCCGGGAGCGTACAGTACATTACCTGCTTGAATTGGTGATGCTGAGAGCCTCCAGCGCTGAAGGCATTCTGCATCAAGCCTCTATCAGATCGGTGTGCACACTGGGATGGTCGGTGCACGTCCCTAGAGGCCTCAAAGACTGGCTTCAACTGCTCATGCGAAGCTGCATCGGCTGGGCTTTGCACCTGTGCGTGATGCCTTGACAAAGTGCAACATGAGGATTACAATGCTGTTTGCTGGTCCCTATACTAGTGTGCAAGCAAGCAGTGTTGCAAGAGCTGCAAGAAAGTGCGAAGCAGCTGCACGGCCCCCACTTCATCCCTCATGCGCAAACCGCCGCCGTGCAGCCTGCCAGCCAGACTGACGCTGGCGCCGCACGCAGCCATCCCATGCAGGCAGCGACCACGCATCCAGAACACGCCTCGACACCCCATCGCGCCCCTCTGGGCGCACGCGGGCAAGAACACATCAGGGCCTACTCCGACAGATGGCATGCCCCCCTGATCACGCCTCTATGCCGCACAGCGCCAGCAGATCATCCAGATCATCGCCGTCGCCGTCGCCGTCGCCGTCGCCACCAGCCACCTGTGCCGCCGCGCCACCATATGCAGCCGTGGCGGGCGCGTACGCGAGCATGGGCGCGGCAGGGACGCCCACATAGTGGGGCGCCACGTACTGCACGTGCGCTGGGGCCGCCGGCGCCGGCGCCCCCACCGCGGGCGTCGGCGGCGCGAGCGCAAACGCGGGCGCGCCGCCGTGCTCTACGATGGCCAGAAAGCCGGCCGCATCGCCGCTGTCAATCGCCGAGACCAGATCAGGGTACGCCGCCGCCGCCGCGGCCCCGAGCCGCGCCTGCTCAGATGAGTCAAGGAACCGCAGCGCCACACCCGCAAACGCCGGCGCCTCAAACATGCGCGCCACTAGCCGCTCGACCGCCTCATGCGGCGACAGCGGCGGCGCCGGCGCCGCCGCTAGGGGCGTGGGTGCCTGGGGGGCCCGCGCCGGCACGGGCACGGGCGCGGGCGTGGGCACAGGCACCGGCATTGGGATGTGCGCCGCTGTGCGCCGCTCGAACGCCTGCAGCGCTGCGCGCTCCTCCTGCAGCTCCCGCGCGAGCCTCGCCTGCGCCTCGCTCTCAGAGTCCTGCATCGCGGCCCGCATCTGGCGCGAGAAATCCTCCTCGCCCGCCGCCGCCCCCGCCGCCGCCCCAGAGGCGGAGCTCGCGGCGTAGCTGGCTGCGTAGGTAGAACCCGGCGTCGCCGGCGGCGACACCGACGCGCGCCCGGCCGATGCTACGGCCGCGGCGGCGGCGGCCGACGAGCCGCCGCCGCCGCGGGGATCGGCGTGCGCCGTCAGAGCGCCAAACGAATTCGCGCGCGGCGTGTACGAGGAGTATCGCGCGGCGCTGCTCGAATCAACGCTGACCGCGTCGCTGCCCTCAAGGGCGGCCCCCTGATCCTCCTCCTCCTCCTCCTCCTCGCCATCCTCCTCGTCGTCCGTCGAATCGCCGCAGTACAGCCCCAGGAGGCGGTTGTAACTGCTGACGTCGCGCACGAAAGCGTTGCCCCCCAGCAGCGAGGCCGGGTCCACATGAACCGCCGACCCGCTCGCGCCGCCGCCGCCGTTGCTACCACCGTCGCCGCCGCCGCCAGCGGCCGCGACCTCGCTCTGCACATCCCCAAAGCTGTCCTCCGTGGCGGCCGTGCCCGCCTCGCTGCCCGCCTCTGCGCCCTTGGCCTTTGAGGCCTTCTTGCGCAGGTTCTTCTTCTGCGCCTTAGTCATAAACATGTCCAGGGTCATGCCTGGTGGCAGCTCCTTGGGGCCCCTGGCCTCCTCCTCCTCCTGAGGCTCAAACCTATGGGGGCGGCAGGGAGGCGGGGCACCAGCCAAGATGTGAGCAGGGGCAAACATCCCTATATGGTTCACCTACGTCGCATGGCACCAAAAAAGGGAGGGGGGGCCAGCCAAGGGCGGCCCGCGCACGCTAGTGAATCAGCTGCGCCGGGATGCCCAACCAAAAGCGCGGCTCACATTGTGCGCGGCGCCGAGTATACTGGCGCAGGAGCGACGCGGCTGGCCACTGGCGGTTTGCGCGGCAGCACGCCAGGCAGCTGCGCCTTCTTGGCTGCCGCGGTGCCTGCCGCCTGCGGCTTTGGCTTGGACTCTCCCTTCTGCCGCGGCCCAGCCGCCGCCGCCTGCTGTGCGAGGAGCACTTGCGGGGGAACGGCCTGCGAGATGGTGGCAGCACCCGCTTGAGGAGGAGGTTGCAGCATGGCATTGCTGCAAATAGGTGCCCAACACCTTGCGGCTGGGCAGGCCGTTTCTCCTCAATTTGTCACAGTGCTGCTCCAACGCACAGCTGCGAACCCAACTGGCAACCCATTGACCCTGCCCCACCTTGGCCTTTGCCTTCTTTTCATTTCTAGGTATAATTGGGTGTGACTTGTCAATCTGTGTGTGGCGAATGTGGGAGTGGAAGGGGCGCGTCGACCGTTGGGTGATTCAGCAAAAAAAAACCTCGTCCTGCCACAGCGTTGCAGCTGTTCGCCAGGTGTCTTGCATCTGTGGCCAGCCAGCCGGCCTGCTGGGCATGAGGCGGTGAGCTGGGTTTTCTCACCTTTCCCTTGCAGCGCTCAGATGACAGGGTCACTTTGGAGTAGCCACGTGGGCATTGAAAGCCGGTCTTTCGGTTCCTGTCAAGTACAGACGTTGGTCATCACGTTCGAACCAGGCGTTTGTTCAGGGGTAAGCTGGGGGAAACGACTGAATGCCCCCCCCAGGCGCCCGTCTGGAGGCTCCCTATGCGACCCGTAGCAACGCCCCTGGGACAAGGCCCACGCCTGCGAGTCGCCGCGCTGCGACATTACGTGACCCCCACAGCCCAGGCGGGGCGCTGCGCCCGCGGCTCACATTTCAAGGCGGTGCGATTTCAGGTACTTTTCCAGGCAGCCCTGATGGTAGACTTCACTGGGGCAGTTGTTGTAGGTGCATGCCAGAGCGACGCACATCTGCAGCGCGGCGCGGCGCGAGCAGGTGGCGGCGGCGAAATTCTAGAAGCGCCGGCAGCCCGCAATCTGATGCTGCAAGCAACTGCGCAATGACCGCATTTCCGCGCTGGTACTCACACAAGAATGAACTGTCAATCACTGCATGGCCATCTAGCGCAGGATGCGTTTGGATGCTGCGCAAAACCAAGCGCGCAGCAAGCCCATCCATGCCACGGCAGCGATAAGCGCAACGCCCGTCCGAACATCAGTGTGCTTGCCGCACCTCCTCGTTGGGATAGCAATCATCTGCACACAGGTCACAAGTCCCCTGCATATCTCGCAGAAGGCCTTGGCCCGTGTCTGCAGCTGTGCCCCGCACTTGTGTCATGCCTGCTGCTGCTGAGCCTGCGAAGCGGTAAGGGGCGGCATTCAGAGTTCCATAATGCATCACGGACGTAATGATGCCTCCAAAGCATGGCCTGGCGCGACTTGCAGCGTCTCTCGCCCGCATCTCCCACCTGCTGGCCCCGCCGACGGGCCAAAAATGTGGATTAACCTCTACACGTACAAATAATCCTCGTGGAACGCCGGACGGCCGCTGGGACGCGGTTTTTCGCCGCGGTGTTCGTGTCTGAGATTTGAGTGAACAGCGGCAATGTTGTCACACGGACTCAGCGCTGCAAGAGACGTGATATGCGTGTTTTTGGTCAATCAAGAATATCTACATAATGGGGCCCGGGTCGGAAGTGCCGTGTTCTGCGCTGTGTGGGTATTGGGCGGGTGGGCCATCATCACCCGCCCCTGCACTCGCAATGAGGGCCGGTGCAGCGCTGTCACAAGGAGCCGCAGTTGTTTCGAAAATTTTGGTCCCTCTACCACACACCCCTGGGTTCGTGAGCGCTGCAGACTGCGAGAAATACCCCCCAGGACACCACACGCAGCAAGCATGCTCAGGATGGAGAGCGACAGGTTTTCAGATGAAGGTGCGAGCTTAGGAACGGTTCCCACTGCGGCGTCGCTCCAGCGCTGAAAAATGGCCGGGGGTGTGTCCGAGTGCCAGGCAGGGAACCGCTCTGGGCTCCTGGGCGGTGGCTCCCCGCTCGGAGGACGACTCGGGACGCATATCACTTCTCACGCCCGCCGCGCCCGTCCCCCGCCCCGCGCAGACCCCGCCCCGCCTGACGCGCCGCCGCGCGGCGCCCCCGACGCCGGCCTCGGCTCGTCGCTGTACCGCGGCCTCCAGGGCGCCAAGCGCGCCCTCGCGAGCGCGCTCTTCCACTACGCGCTCGTCGTGCCGGACAAGTCCAGGAAGGACGCCAGCCTCGCGGATATGGAGGACATGCGGTCCAGGCTGTCGCCCGACGACGACGATGACGCGTCTGAATCGTCGGACGACGGCGGCGACTTCGACGACGCGGACGACGGCGGCGCGCCGCCCGCCAGCGGCAGCAGCGCCAGCAGCGGCGGCAGCCGGACCTTCTCACGGACGGCGAGCGGGCGGCCGCTGAGGCGGTTTGGGACGCTCAAGGAGCTGCGGGGGGACCTCGAATTCAAAGAGGCTGTGGTTGGTGGGTGGCGGCCTGCGGTTTGATGAGGGGGGTTCGTACGCGCTGTCGTGGGTGGGGTTGCACACGTGTTCACACATTCGCGCATGGGTGAGTGTGTGTGTGTGTGTGTGTGTGTGTGTGTGTGTGTGTGTGTGTGTGTGTGTGTGTGTGCGCGTCTCCATTGGTTGGCACGGCAGTTTGAGGCAGGGTTGGAAGGGGACGGAAGGCTGAGACGTTGGCGGTTGCAGAGCAGGTACAGCACCCTGAGCAAAAAGTCAACGGCCACTGCCAAGAGACGGCGCAGCGGGGCCGCAGTTGGGTGTGTGTAGACCGCGAAGCCGCGGCGCCGCTCGGGCGCCTCGTATCCTCGCGGGGCAGCGGGGTCTTTTGAGTTGCTGGCGGGCGCGGGCAGCACACTCCGCTGCGCGAGAAGCGCACGCCGCGCGGCGCACGGGCGGCGGCGCACCGAAGGCCTTCGATTGCGCCAGCTTGGGGGATTCTCGAATCGAGCGTTGCGCCAGCGGTCCAAGCGC